ACAGTCATACACACAGAACAAGGTAGTTACTGTGTATAATAAGTCGGCATACAGTCATACACACAGAACAAGGTAGTTGCTGTGTATAATAAGTCGTCATACAGTCATACACACAGAACAAGGTAGTTACTGTGTATAATAAGTCGTCATACAGTCATACACACAGAACAAAATTAGTTACTGTATTGTATAATAAGTCAAATCGCCACAGTCATACACACAGAACAAGGTGGTTACTGTGGCATAATAGAATCGTCATGCAGTCATACACACAGAACAAGGTAGTTACTGTGTAAAATATGTCGTCATTCAGTCATACACACACAGAACAAAATTAGTTGCTGCCAACATAATATATCAAATCATGCAGTCATACACACACAGAACAAAGGTAGTTTTAGCACAGGTATAATATGTCGTCATACAGTTATACACACAGAACAAGGTAGTTACGGTGGATAATATGTCGTCATACAGTCATACACACAGAACAAGGTAGTTACTGTGTCTAATAAGTCGTCATACAGTCATACACACAGAACAAGGTATTTACTGTGTATAATAAGTCGTCATACAGTCATACACACAGAACAAGGTAGTTACTGTGTCTAATAAGTCGTCATACAGTCATACACACAGAACAAGGTAGTTAATGTGTATAATAAGTCGTCATGATCCTTTTACACAGAACAAGTGTGAACACTGTGAATACTGTAATAAATCATACAGTCATACACACAGAACAAGGTAGTTACTGTGTATAATAAGTCGTCATACAGTCATACACACAGAACAAGGTAGTTACTGTGTATAATAAGTCGTCATACAGTCATACACACAGAACAAGGTAGTTACTGTGTATAATAAGTCGTCATACAGTCATACACACAGAACAAGGTGGTTACTGTGTATAATAAGTCGTCATACAGTCATACACACAGAACAAAGTAGTTACTGTGTATAATAAGTCGTCATACAGTCATACACACAGAACAAGGTAGTTACTGTGTATAATAAGTCGTCATACAGTCATACACACAGAACAAAGTAGTTACTGTGTATAATAAGTCGTCATACAGTCATACACACAGAACAAAGTGGTTACTGTGTATAATAAGTCGGCATGATCATACACAGAACAAGTGGTTACTGTATAATATATCGTCATTCAGTCATACACACAGAACAAAATTAGTTGCTGTGTATTTTAGAATCGTCATACAGTCATACACAGAACGGGTAGTTGCTGTGTATTTGAAGATCGTCATACAGTCATACACACACAGAACAAGGTAGTTACTGTATAATAGAATCGTCTTACAGTGTACACACAGAACAAAGGTAGTTTTGTGTGTAATGATCGTCATACAGTCATACACACAGAACAAGGTAGTTACTGTGTATAATAAGTCGTCATTCAGTCATACACACAGAACAAGGTAGTTACTGTGTATAATAAGTAAGTCGTCATACAGTCATACACACAGAACAAGGTAGTTGCTGTGTAAAATATGTCGTCATTCAGTCATACACACAGAACAAGGTAGTTACTGTGTATAATAAGTCGTCATACAGTCATACACACAGAACAAGGTAGTTACTGTGTATAATAAGTCGTCATACAGTCATACACACAGAACAAGTTAATTACTGTGTCTAATAAGTCGGCATACAGTCATACACACAGAACAAGGTAGTTACTGTGTATAATAAGTCGTCATACAGTCATACACACAGAACAAGTTAATTACTGTGTCTAATATGTCGTCATACAGTCATACACACAGAACAAGGTAGTTACTGTGTATAATAAGTCGTCATACAGTCATACACACAGAACAAGGTAGTTGCTGAGTAAAATATGTCGTCATTCAGTCATACACACAGAACAAGGTAGTTACTGTGTATAATATGTCGTCATACAGTCATACACACAGAACAAGGTAGTTACTGTGTATAATAAGTCGTCATACAGTCATACACACAGAACAAGGTAGTTGCTGAGTAAAATATGTCGTCATTCAGTCATACACAGAACAAGGTAGTTACTGTGTATAATAAGTCAAGTCATACAAATATACACACAGAACAGTAGTTATCTCGTGTATAATAAGTCGTTATTCAGTCATACACACAGAACAAGGTAGTTAATGTGTATAATAAGTCGTCATACAGTCATACACACAGAACAAAGGTAGTTACTGTGTATACAAGTCGTCATATACAGTCATACACACACAGAACAAGGTAGTTACTGTGTATAATAAGTCGTCATACAGCGTCAAGGGCTACCACAGAACAAGGTAGTTACTGTGTATAATAAGTCGTCATACAGTCATACACACAGAACAAGTTAATTACTGTGTATAATTAGTCGTCATACAGTCATACACACAGAACAAGGTAGTTACTGTGTATAATAAGTCGTCATTCAGTCATACACACAGAACAAGGTAGTTACTGTGTATAATAAGTCGTCATACAGTCATACACACAGAACAAGTTAGTTACTGTGTCTAATAAGTCGTCATACAGTCATACAGTATATTAGTTAATTCATAAACTATTTTTGTTAATATAATGGACAACATTAACGTATGGTACCTTGACGATATAGGATTATTTACATTATTATAATTTAACAGAAGTAAAGCAGTTCCAGCACAAGGTGGTTACCCTGGAGGCAGGCGTCCAGCTAAAGACTGAACAGCTCTTTATGAACCAGGAAATAATTCAACACCTCAATAACACCATAATCACACAACACAATACCATAAACACACAGAACAACACCATAAACACACAACAAGCCCTTATTACCGACAAAGAACACACCATAAACACACAGAACAACACCATAAACACACAACAAGCCCTTATTACCGACAAAGAACACACCATAAACACACAGAACAACACCATAAACACACAACAAGCCCTTATTACCGACAAAGAACACACCATAAACACACAGATCAACACCATAAACACACAACAAGCCCTTATTACCGACAAAGAACACACCATAAACATACAGAACAACACCATAAACACACAACAAGCCCTTATTACCGACAAAGAACACACCATAACCACTGAAACAACACCGCAAACACTCAACAAGCCCTTGTGCCGACAAAGAACACACCGCCAAACACACAGAACAACACCATAAACACTCAACAAGCCCTTATTACCGACAAAGAACACATCATAAACACACAGAACAACACCATAAACACTCAACAAGCCCTTATTACCGACAAAGAACACACCATAAACACACAGAACAACACCATAAACACTCAACACTACACCATAAACACACACCAAGCCCTTATTACCGACAAAGAACACACCATAAACACACAGAACAACACCATAAACACTCAACAAGCCCTTATTACCGACAAAGAACACATCATAAACACACAGAACAACACCATAAACACTCAACAAAAGCCCTTAATGCAAACAAAAGAACACACCATAAACACACAGAACAACACCATAAACACTCAACAACCATATTGCCGACAAAGAACGCACCATAAACCCACAGAACAACACCATAAACACTCAACACAACACCATAAACTGCAACAAGCCATATTACCGTAAAAGAACACACCATAAACACACAGAACAACACCGCAAACAGTCAACAAGCCCTTGTGCCGACAAAAGAACACACCATAAACACACCGAAACAACACCATAAACACTCAACACAACACCATAAACACACAACAAGCCCTTATTACCGACAAAGAACACACCATAAACACACAGAACAACACCATAAACACTCAACAAGCCCTTATTACCAACAAAGAACACACCATAAACACACAGAACAACACCATAAACACACAACAAGCCCTTATTACCGACAAAAGAACACACCATAAACACACAGAACAACACCATAAACACACAATAAGCCCTTATTACCGACAAAGAACACACCATAAACACACAGAACAACACCATAAACACCACAACAAGCCCTTATTACCGACAAAAGACACACCATAAACACACAGATCCAACACCATAAACACACAACAAGCCTGGCTACCGACAAAGAACACACCATAAACACACAGAACAACACCATAAACACACAACAAGCCCTTGTGCAAACCAAAGACACACCATAAACACACAGAACAACACCATAAACACACAACAAGCCCTTATTACCGACAAAGAACACACCATAAACACACAGAACAACACCATAAACACACAACAAGCCCTTATTACCGACAAAGAACAACACCATATAAACACAGAACAACACCATAAACACACAACAAGCCCTTATTACCGACAAAGAACACACCATAAACACACAGAACAACACCATAAACACACAACAAGCCCTTATTACCGACAAAGAACACATTATAAACACACAGAACAACACCATAAACACTCAACAAGCCCTTATTACCGACAAAGAACACATCATAAACACACAGAACAACACCATAAACACACAACAAGCCCTTATTACCGACAAAGAACACACCATAAACACACAGAACAACACCATAAACACTCAACAAGCCCTTATTACCGACAAAGAACACATTATAAACACACAGAACAACACCATAAACACACAACAAGCCCTTATTACCGACAAAGAACACACCATAAACACACAGAACAACACCATAAACACACAACAAGCCCATATTACCAAACCAAAAGAACACACCATAAACACACAGATCAACACCATAAACACAACAAGAAGCCCTTATTACCAAACCAAAAGAACACACCATAAACACACAGAACAACACCATAAACACACAACAAGCCCTTATTACCGACAAAGAACACACCATAAACACACAGAACAACACCATAAACACACAACAAGCCCTTATTACCGACAAAGAACACACCATAAACATACAAAACAACACCATAAACACACAACAAGCCCTTATTACCGACAAAGAACACACCATAAACACACAACAAGCCCTTATTACCGACAAAGAACACACCATAAACATACAGAACAACACCATAAACATACAGAACAACACCATAAACACACAACACAACACAATACAAAACCTTGAAGAACGTCTCCAATATTTTTCAAAACAGTAAGTTAAATTAATTTACTCATATAATATAAATTAACCAAAACTAACGATGTTAACTTACATTAAACTTGTGTATAACTTAACCTAACATAACCAAAATCAACCATGTTATCCTAACATAACCAATCACTAATTGCGCAGCCCCCCTCTCTGCTCACCCGACGGTAACTCCCTATTTCAAGACAATGAAGGCCTCCTTCAGTGCTGGAAAGAGCACTACCATTCACAGTTCAACCTAAACACTAATAAGGATGTAATGACTACCCAGCAGGTCCTACAGCATCCAGAGCTAACCCACCTCAGCTATCCTCCATCAGGCCCTGATTTGACACAGACTGGTTAACTTAATTTAACTTAACCGGAGAAAATTAAAATGGCTTAACTTAACTAGTAAAATTTTAAACTTAATCGCCCCATGCCTGCTCTTTAGTCACCTCAGAACTCACCAACCGAGGTGACTTCCTTAATAGCTCATATCATTGTATCATAGCTGGATGATCGTCATACTTGATTCCGAGTGACAGCAAAGTAGTAATGAGTAGCAGTGTTAAATGTACAGTATATGTGGAAACATTAGACACAGTGGTACCTGTAGGAGTAAGATGTGTGCTAGATGTGCGATGTGCTAGATGTGTGAATGTGAAAAGGACGTGGGTGTGTATGTTGACATTGAACTGAAGTTCTCGGCCATTGTGAGAAGGAGATAAATCAATGAAGTGCTTCCTCATCTGGAGTACTGTCACCCCGTCTGGTCCCCGAGATATGCTAGGGACTGTCAGTTAACTGAAAATGTTCAAAGGAGGGCCACCAGGCTGCTGCCAGCACTTCGGCACCTCAGCTACCCTGAGAGATTAGAACGCCTGAAATTGCCTGGCATATACTACAGACGGGCAAGGGGGGACCTACAGTAATTGAGGTGTATATACATCTCAAAGGGCACTACTCATTCGAGTGACCTCACCTTGGAGCTGGCGGATGCTCGCCCCACAAGGGTCACAGCTCAAGGCTGAAGAAACCACAAGTACAGAAAACTGTGAAGGGTAAACTTTTTCGGAGTGAGAGTTATGAACTCTTTGAACAATCTACCAGAGAGTGTTGTGTCGGCACCGAGTGTGAGCTCTTTCAAGACCAGACTTGACCAACACTGGAGCAGGTTCAGGTACATTCAGGAGCCGGTGCATGCCCAGTACTTGCCAATAGTGTGTAACAGAGACGTGACCGATCACCCACGCGACTAACGAGCAGATCAGTGGTGAAGAGGAGAAAAGAAAAAGTTACCAGTAGGAGTAAGGTGTGTGCTAGACAGTGTTACCAGTAGGAGTAAGGTGTGTGCTAGACAGTGTTACCAGTAGGAGTAAGGTGTGTGCTAGACAGTGTTACCAGTAGGAGTAAGGTGTGTGCTAGACAGTGTTACCAGTAGGAGTAAGGTGTGTGCTAGACAGTGTTACCAGTAGGAGAGTGTGTGCTGAGACAGTGTTACCAGTAGGGTAAGGTGTGTGCTGAACGTGTTACCAGTAGGAGTAAGGCTATTGTGCTGAATAATGTTACCAATGGGAGTAAGGTGTTTGCTAGACAGTGTTACCAGTAGGAGTAAGGTGTGTGCTGAACCAGTGTTACCAGTAGGGCAGGTGTGTGCTAGACAGTGTTACCAGTAGGGTAAAAGGTGTGTGCTAGACAGTACCAGTAGGAGTAAAGGTGTGCGCTAGACAGTGTTACCAGTGGGAATTAAGGTGTGTGCTGGAGCCAGTGTTACCAGTAGATGAGTGTGTACTGAACATAGTGTTACCAGTAGGGTAAGGTGTTATTGCTAGACAGTACCGTGGGAGTAGGTGTGTGCTGAACAGTCATTACCAGTAGGGAGTGGGTGTGTGCTAGACAGTGTTACCAGTGGGAGTAAGGTGTGTGCTGAACAGTACCAGTAGGGTAAGGTGTGTGCTAGACAGTGTTACCAGTAGGAGTAGGTGTGTGTTGGAGCAGTGTTGCAGTAGAATGGGTGTGTGTTGGAACAGTGTTACCAGTAGGAGTAAGGTGTGTGTGTGCCAGTAGGAGTAAGGTGTGTGCTAGACAGTGTTACCAGTAGGAGAAAGGTGTGTGCTAGACAGTGTTACCAGTAGGAGTAAGGTGTGTGCTAGACAGTGTTACCAGTAGGAGTAAGGTGTGTGCTAGACAGTGTTACCAGTAGGAGTAAGGTGTGTGCTAGACAGTGTTACCAGTAGGAGTAAGGTGTGTGCTAGACAGTGTTACCAGTAGGAGTAAGGTGTGTGCTAGACAGTGTTACCAGTAGGAGTAAGGTGTGTGCTAGACAGTGTTACCAGTAGGAGTAAGGTGTGTGCTAGACAGTGTTACCAGTAGGAGTAAGGTGTGTGCTAGACAGTGTTACCAGTAGGAGTAAGGTGTGTGCTAGACAGTGTTACCAGTAGGAGTAAGGTGTGTGCTAGACAGTGTTACCAGTAGGAGTAAGGTGTGTGCTAGACAGTGTTACCAGTAGGAGTAAGGTGTGTGCTAGACAGTGTTACCAGTAGGAGTAAGGTGTGTGCTAGACAGTGTTACCAGTAGGAGTAAGGTGTGTGTTATATAGTATTACCAATAAGACTGGGGATGTGTTAACATTTTAAAACATTAGAATATTACCATAGGTAAGTTTTTGCATCAGGTTAGGTTAGGTTATGATTACATTAATATATCATCACATAAGTCTAACTGTAGATGGTCTTTGTTCCAAGACAATATTAACACCTGTGTTGTGACCACCAGACCTGTGAGGGACTGTGAGGATGTGTACAAGGCGGGAGGGAAGGAGAGCGGAGTCCACACCATCTATCCCAAGAGGTAAGTTACTTGTTACATTACCTTGTGTTAGTAGGTGTGGTAGTGTTGCATTACCTTGTTGTGTTAGTAGTTGTGGTAGTGTTACTTGTTACATTACCTTGTGTTAGTAGGTGTGGTAGTGTTACTTGTTACATTACCTTGTGTTGGTAGTTGTGGTAGTGTTACTTGTTACATTACCTTGTGTTAGTAGGTGTGGTAGTGTTACTTGTTACATTACCTTGTGTTAGTAGTTGTGGTAGTGTTACTTGTTACATTACCTTGTGTTAGTAGGTGTGGTAGTGTTACTTGTTACATTACCTTGTGTTAGTAGGTGTGGTAGTGTTACTTGTTACATTACCTTGTGTTAGTAGTTGTGGTAGTGTTACTTGTTACATTACCTTGTGTTAGTATGTGTGGTAGTGTTAAATACCTTGTGTTGGTAGTTGTGGTAGCCTTGTTGTGTTAGTAGTTGTGGTAGCCTTGTTATGTTAGTAGTTGTGGTAGCCTTGTTGTGTTAGTAGTTGTAGTAGCCTTGTTGTGTTAGTAGTTGTGGTAGCCTTGTTGTGTTAGTAGTTGTGGTAGCCTTGTTGTATTAGTAGTTGTGGTAGCCTTGTTGTGTTAGTAGTTGTGGTAGCCTTGTTGTGTTAGTAGTTGTGGTAGCCTTGTTGTGTTAGTAGTTGTGGTAGCCTTGTTGTGTTGGTAGTTGTGGTAGCCTTGTTGTGTTAGTAGTTGTGGTAGCCTTGTTGTGTTAGTAGATGTGGTAGCCTTGTTGTGTTAGTAGTTGTGGTAGCCTTGTTGTGTTGGTAGTTGTGGTAGCCTTGTTGTGTTAGTAGTTGTGGTAGCCTTGTTGTGTTAATGTTATTAGCCTTGCTGTCATTAGTAGTTAGTAACCTTATTTGTGTTAGTAGTTAGTAGCCTTGTTGTGTTAAGTAGTTATTGTTATCCTTATTTGTGTTAGTAGTTGTTAGCCTTATTTGTGTTATCGTTATGTTATGTGTCAATGGTTTAGTATGTATTTGTGTTAGTAGTTGTATTGTATGTGTGTTAGTAGTTGTATTGTATGTTGTGTTAGTAGTTAATGGTAGCCTTGTTGTGTTAGTAGTTGTGGTAACCTTGTTGTGTTAGTAGTTGTGGAAGCCTTGTTGTGTTAGTAGTTGTGTTAGCCTTGTTGTGTTAGCGTTGTTGTTAGCCTTGTTGTGTTAGTAGTTAGTAGCCTTGTTGTGTTAGTAGTTGTATTATGTTTGTGTGTTAGTAGTTGTAGTAGTTGTGGTAGCCTTGTTGTGTTAGTAAGAAGTTGTGGTAGCCTTGTTGTGTTAGTAGTTGTGGTAGCCTTGTTGTATTAGTAGTTGTGGTAGCCTTGTTGTGTTAGTAGTTGTGGTAGCCTTGTTGTGTTAGTAGTTGTGGTAGCCTTGTTGTGTTAGTAGTTGTGGTAGCCTTGTTGTGTTGGTAGTTGTGGTAGCCTTGTTGTGTTAGTAGTTGTGGTAGCCTTGTTGTGTTAGTAGATGTGGTAGCCTTGTTGTGTTAGTAGTTGTGGTAGCCTTGTTGTGTTAGTAGTTGTGGTAGCCTTGTTGTGTTAGTAGTTGTGGTAGCCTTGTTGTGTTAGTAGTTGTGGTAGCCTTGTTGTGTTAGTAGTTGTGGTAGCCTTGTTGTGTTAGTAGTTGTGGTAGCCATGTTGTGTTAGAGGTAGAGTTAGTGAACTTGGCCTCATAATTAAGTTTTCATGTTGCTCCTGGTAAAATAAGCAGTGATCCCTAACACCTGGTGGTAGTGAGTGACTTAACTATTCTGTTCATCAGAAAGACAACTTACTTACCAAGTCAAAGTTTATATTCTGATTATATTACACACAACTCCAGTTCTTCCTTACTTGAATCAACAATACAAATGTTACTTTAACAATATTGTTTTATCGGCCTGTTAGCCGCTTGGGCAGTCGGTCACGTCGCTGTTGGCAAGTTCTGACTGCCTGTTATACACTGTTGGCAAGTACTGGGCACAAAATGTATCTGTACCTGCCCTAGTGTTGGTTAAGTCTGGTCTTGAAAGAGTTCACACAACACTCTCTGGCAGGTTGTTCCAACAGTTCACACAACACTCTCTGGCAGGTTGTTCCAACAGTTCACACAACACTCTCTGGCAGGTTGTTCCAACAGTTCACACAACACTCTCTGGCAGGTTGTTCCAACAGTTCACACAACACTCTCTGGCAGGTTGTTCCAACAGTTCACACAACACTCTCTGGCAGGTTGTTCCAACAGTTCACACAACACTCTCTGGCAGGTTGTTCCAACAGTTCATACAACACTCTCTGGCAGGTTGTTCCAACAGTTCACACAACACTCTCTGTCAGGTTGTTCCAACAGTTCACACAACACTCTCTGGCAGGTTGTTCCAACAGTCTGCACAAACACTCTCGGCAGGTTGTTCCAACAGTTCACAACATTTCTGGCAGGTTGTTCCAACAGTTCATACAAACACTTCCTGGCAGGTTGTTCCAACAGTTCGCACAACACTCTCTGGCAGGTTGTTCCAACAGTCTGCCACACAGCACTCTCTGCAGGTTGCCCAACAGTTCCCCACACACACAACACTCTCTGGCAGGTTGTTCCAACAGTTCACACAGCACTCTCTGGCAGGTTGTTCCAACAGTTAACACAGCACTCTCTGGCAGGTTGTTCCAACAGTTCACACAACACTCTCTGGCAGGTTGTTCCAACAGTTCACACAGCACTCTCTGGCAGGTTGTTCCAACAGTTCACACAACACTCTCTGGCAGGTTGTTCCAACAGTTCACAATTCTCACTTTACAAAAGTTTATCCTTACGGTTTTCTGGACCTGCGGCTTCAACCTTAAGCTGTGACCCCTAGTGGGACGGGCATCTGCCAGCTGCTGGTGTAAACATATGACTGAGTAATGTCCTCTGAGGTGTTTATAAACTTGTGTTAACTTGTCCGTTTATAGTATAAGCTAGGCAGTTGGAGACGTTCTAATCTCTCTGGATAACTGAGGTGCCGTAGTGCAGGCACCAGTCTGGTGGCCCTCCTTTGGACATTTTCACTCAACTGACAGTCCTTAGCTCATCTCGGGGACCAGACGGGTGACAGTCAGTAGGTCACCAGCAGGTGTGAGGGTGTACTGTGAGGTACAAGAGTTGTGTAGTTATAATGAAGGTGTTTGTCAGTTGACCACCAGCAGGTGTGAGGGTGTACTGTGAGGTACAAGAGTTGTGTAGTTATAATGAAGGTGTTTGTCAGTTCACCAGCAGGTGTGAGGGTGTACTGTGAGGTACAAGAGTTGTGTAGTTATAATGAAGGTGTTTGTCAGTTCACCAGCAGGTGTGAGGGTGTACTGTGAGGTACAAGAGGGACAGTCATGGACGGTGTTCCTCGCTCGTCACCATCAAACTCCCAATGAGAACTTTACACGGTCTTGGCAAGACTACAAGAAAGGCTTCGGGGACCCTGAAGGAGAACACTGGCTGGGTAAGGTGTCTCATATATTATTGTAGTTTGTTGTGGTTCACTCCACCAATGGCTATAACATCACACAATGTAGGTTTATTTACTTACCATCAGCCAAGGTGGGTTATTGTGTTCACTTACAGGAAATGAGAACTTACACACGCTGACTGGTGGAGAGACACGTTACCGCCTGAGGGTGGAGGCCACCAACCTGCAGGGAGAACAACGATATGGAGAGTGGCGAGTGTTCCGTGTCGCTCCTGAGGACAACAGGTATACCAGCACGCTTATGTTACACACTCTCCTGCCACTTAACTGTCAACACTTTCTTTCTTTACACCAACTATGGTCCATGAACCCGAGCTGAAACAATGAGGTTGTCAGTAGGTATTTTACAGTAACTATGAAGGCTAAATCAAAGACTTAAACTTACATTTACTTCCCAAAATAGACCCAAATATAATTGTTTATTAAGAGAGTAATGAGGTGTTAAAGAAACACACACCTGAGGTAACCTGCCTTCACTCGTGGGCTGCAAGGTTCGTGGCAGCTCCTGGTTCACACTTATACTTGAACCCGCTACTAAACAATGACAGAAACATTCACAGTAATACATTATTACACTTTAATACAAAAACTAAAACAAATGTTGTACTACTCCTCATAATATCTTTCTTATATTAAGACTCAGTATAGACTCCACTCAGCCTCCCTGACAAAGAAGCCAGTCTTTAATATTCCATTATTTAGTGTGTCAACGTTACAGATTACGTTAGACCTTTTATCACCTCAAACATAAGCCTAAATAGGTCGCTCCTCTCTCCCCTGGCTCAGAGGACTCAACTCCTCATATCTTTGGACAAATATTACATACTTGGTCTCTTCACTAATGACCATTTAAGTCAGAAGCACATAATTAGTTTAACATTATTTACTATGTCAGGTTTTGGGTTCCAATAAAAAGGTTAATAATAGAGTCAGTAAATGTTGGCCTCCCTATTATATATCTCATCTTAACATTATTTTTATACACAAACTAAATAAAACATTTACCATAATAAACAAACTAAATATTGCTGCCTTTCTTGGTCTAACAATTTATAATAACAAATACTTATAATTGTCGGTTTTCTTTCATTATTTGATGACAGACTAAACTAAACTCCACAAAAGACACTGACCTAAAGAGAGGAACGACATACATTATTATCCCGTCAAATTTCGATCAAAACAAACTAATAAAATGAACACTTGTGACACTCAGAGCACCACATGATAACTTGGCTTTGTCCATATTATTAGTGATGTATAGATCACCACTAAGTTTAGTTTTGTACACAACTCCCTCAGGTACCGGCTGACTGTGGAGCAGTACAACAGCAGTAGTACACTGGGTGATGGACTGAACTACCACAATGGCGGGTCGTTCACCACGGTGGACAGGGACCACGACACAAACCCGTCAATAAGTAAGTGTTAAGTGTTTATGTGAGCATCACTTATATGTTAAGTGTTTACTACATAAGTGTAATGATTTAGTGGCCACCAAGATCATCTTAAAACAAAAACAATAACAACAACAATAATAATAACAATAACAGGTAATATATACTGTATGTTAAAGCCCCGCCCCCTCCTCAACACTTACACCTGATTGGCTGTTGCAAATGTGTTCGATTTCGTCCTCAAGTAATGATGTATTTATAAATGAGTTTATTCATAATGACCGTTTCTGACGAGAAAGATATTTAGCTAAATTATTTAGATACATACATTAATTACTTCAAACATGAACACGTAGGAAGTTTATCAGAAATATTATACAAGAATTAACTGTTAAACTCTGGTACCAAATTAACGCTTTCGGAGGACGCATTTAATATATACTTACTAATACCACAATAAGATATAATAATTACTTATCAGTAATATATCAATGTGATTCTGTTCTTTTAAGATGTTAGTTTTTGCATAATATATTT